TCATTTGCCCGCCCCTTTTCTTATTGTGGGGGACTAATGCCGATAGTCCCGCCCGGGGTGGCACTAGGATCTGCTCGAGAGGCAGTACACTTGAAAGTATTATTGACAACCAGAACTTAATTATTCTGCATACTGGCGAATGCACATATTTCTCCGTGGCTTTAAACACTTTCTCGTCCGTCGATCTCGCTCTCTGCAGTCCATCTCTATACCATCTTTGAGTGGACTGTCTTTGGTGACCTGCATGGCAGCGTCCACTTCCCCTTTCTGGCCAATTTCGATATTCCCGGCCCAAACGATACTCGTCCTCGCAGACTAGTCCACTGAGTTGAGTGGGAAACATTCAAGAAAGAAATACAGATATCGGAAACCTGGCTAAGCGATATCGATGCTATGGTTGCCCATTTTATTGATGCCGTTCTTCATGCGGCCTCAATTGCCATCTCGAAGTCTTCGGGTCACCCACGACATTCTCCCGTGCCATGGTGGAATGCCGACTGCTACCGTGGTACATGATCGGAAACGGACATTGGCAAAGCTCAGTGGGTTCCCAACCATGGATAATTGATCAATTGTTAAAGATCACGAGCTAGAGCTAGATTGACCATAGGGGAAAGTAAGGCCGCGAGCTTATATTTCATCATTCTCTTGCCGTACGTAGTGGAGTAAAGGTTCTATATATCGGTGGAAGAATTCCTTCGCCGTCTGTCTCAGGGCTTCTGGTAAATGGAAATCTCACCTCACCTGAAGATATAGATGAAGAATTGGCCTCTCACTACGAGCATATCTCCAGCTCCGTACACTACTCTCCTAGCTTTCTGAAGACCAAAAGAAGAATGAAGAACTGTAGACTAAATTTCCATTCTTTCTGTTGACTAGATTTCGGTAGTCTGACATTTACAGCATTATATGAGAGAAGAGGATTGTGCCAATTATTTGACTTTAATTGGAGATTTTAAAGTGGTTATCAGGCTTTCTGCCAAGTCCTTTTTTTAAAATAATTTAACACGTTTATATTGAGTGTTACTCACATTTTACCTGGCATTAAAACTGTTTTAATCTGCTACTGCTACAGTGCGTATTTTTCTTAAAATAATTTGACACGGACGCCAATGACCTTAGCTTTTGAAGCGCCCTTAAACCTTCTTCATCATCATTGATGGGGTGTCAGGTAAAGGACTCCCAGAATTAAAGATTTTTTTTCAAAATAGCAAAGCTTCGACTCGAGCCAGATCGATCGGGGAATATGCCATTTGGAAAAATTCCTATCTTTGGTTTAGTCGTTATAGGTGTTCACAGACGAACGGACGTTTTGAAGAAAAACACTTTTTCGTATCAGGGGACTCCAAAACGTGTATTGCCGATGAAATCGCGTATATTACTCCGTATATACTTACGTATACGTGAAATAACTGGGGCGCGTGTTCGCACTTGTATGCCGGCGGTGCTGCTGCATGCACTAACTAGCCAAGCTCGTCTCCATGGTTGCACTGTATCCAAGCGTTAAATGCTCCCCACACCCAAGATTTCTAATGTATTTCAATATTGCCTTACGAAGATTGATTTTTACAAAATTTAAAAAAATCGAAAAATGGGCGTTGTTTCGAGTTGTGGCGTTATATCAGTCGTCTTGTACAAACGTGACAAAATAATAGCCACGTAATAATAGCCACGCATAATGCATTTCATGCTCATTGAATGCACGAGGAAATAGTTGCGACAGCGCTGGCTGGAAGATACGCTGGGCTGAACAATGGCAAACTTAGGGAGCGGAAGGGAATGGGTGCCGTGTCGTGGGTGGCCACTTGTAAACCCCGTAGACCACTTGCGGCAAACCTCGGAACCCCGTAGACATGCTGGCTGTGGAAACGCGTCGGCGGAAACAGCGAGATGCAGTTCCGTCAGCCGGCCCAGAAGGTAATATAAACGGACCCTGGGCCTAAACTCCTGATTCTTGGGCGCGTCGGTAGGAGGTCGTGTGGGTTGTGCGCGGCGCTGCATTTCAATGCATAGGCAGGGAACTGAAGTCGGCGTGCTACGTCGGGACGGGAGGTGCGGCATACCCGTTTGTATGCTCACGTAGGCAACTGGTGCATCACACCAAATTAGATATCAAATTATCAGGCAAGCAGTGACCAGGAACATTCTTTCTTGTAACGGGTCAATATTGTTTATTGTAACTATTGTAAATAGTATTCAGGTGTATATTTCAAATAAATACTCAAATTACAAACCGTTCACGTCTGTGTGTTATTGCCCCGGCAAAGACAGTGTGTTTGAAAAACGGAACACCCAAGTCTTGTGATTCCAACCCTGGCCCTTCAGAAAGGTACTCCTCACATCGTAAATTAAAACATAATTGAATTGAATTCAATCAAATCGAAAAACTGGCCTGTACACTGGGCGACTCTAGCGATGTCCGCGTACGAGTGCAACGCTTCTCCTCTCGGTCTGGTGTGGTTCAGGGTGTTATCTTTTGAGAAGATTAACCTCAATAAAAATAACAATGATGTAATAGTAATAATGAAAATAAGTATTAACGCATAGACAAATAATAATAGTAAAATAATCTCATTTAGTTATGGTGAGCCTTAGGCTATGTGGCCTGTAAGTAGACATTTATACTTTTTACTTTACCGTATACGTAGGTCTGCCCGTATATACGGAGTAATATACGTAGTATAGGGAAAGTTATGTAATGCTGCGGAAAATCGATTTTGAGATTTCGGCGGAAATACATGTTTTGGGGTGCCCTGACACTGAAAAAGTTTTTTTCTTTCAAAAAGTCCGTCGGTCCGTCCGTGTCTGGTGTATGTGAACAACATTAGTTTCTAAACTATAGGTAGGAATTTTTCCAAATGAAGAAATCCCTACCTATTTGTCCCGAGTCGAAGCTCTGCAATTTTGAAAATCTTACATTAATTTATGGGGGTACTTAACATTGCCCCCGACACATTTTCAAAATTTTCTCAAAAACTGTTGTAAATTTTATCTTTAATTTTTTTGTAAGAATAGAGTAAAGTGAATCTTGTATAGGATCGTTTTTCACGGTTTACTCAATTTTTGATGATTTAAAAAGTTCGAATTTTTTCAGGCTCTTCCTAAAACTACAAAATTAAAGATAGAGATTTTTCCTTCTAATGAAATTTGTTGTCCAGAATTTGTTCTTTCATTAACGCTGTATACATTTTTGAACATTTTAGTAGTTTTCACGCATTGCGATTTGTGCAATTTAAAAAAATTACAAAGGTAGGTAGGGATATTCTGAAACGCTTAAATACTATGTTCTCGAAAATGACTCCAATTTTTTTTCTTCAACCTTTTCGAATAGATAGTGCTAATTGCACTCTTAAATATGACGTAAAGTTAATTTTGAAGTTTTTAAAAACAAATTACACAATTTAAATTTTTTAAATATCTCACGCCGGTAATATGCGATTTTACAGCAATTTGTAATCACTATTGTATTTGTGAGTTAAAGTGCTTCAAATGATTTCAATGAAATTTTTTTAAAACTCAAAAGTGTTCTGTGGAAAAGTGCTTCAAATTTCGAATTTACGGTAGCGCTTAAACGACATTTTCTTACAAACCGCTCCAGATTTTTTAAAGAAAACAGCCATGTAGGAGAACGTTTTACCGTTCTTTAATATTTTTAAAATATTTCCGTTCTGTTATTTAGTAACCGAAAAATTGGAGAAAATTTCAAAAAAATATATTTTCGGCGGCGATAGATTGCAGCTAGCATGATGTGTCATGTTCGTTTGGCTAACCGGGACCAATGGAAGTAGAAAACTAATACGGGAAAGTCTGTGCCAGTCTGTGGCACCACTAGTTTTGATCAATTTACCATGTTTACCCAGTCTGAGGACGTCTTTGAAATTTGAATTACTAGTAATCATTCACCACGTTACCCCCTTTCATAAAAAAAGGATAGGTCATGAAAGCTAGCTGTGCTACAAAAAGGGTCACGCCTATTTGTATCGTTGTATCTTTAATGTTCAAAAAAAGGAAAATTATTATAATGCCAATGCATTTGTAATATTTTAGTATGCTTCAACATACTACTTGAAATAGCAAGTCTGATTATCTGCATTGTATTTAAAATACTGTTAAAGTAAGAGTATTCTTTCAACATACTCTTTTGTGAAATGCATAAGATATTTTAAATCTATAGTGCACCTTAGTTCTTGAATGTAACTTTTTTTAATGGAATCAATATTTCCAAATTAGTTTTAAATGCTGTTTCTATTTTGTTCAAATTTTGAAAATGACATTTTGAATCACGTTTGTCCATTTTCCAAATATTTATTACAGATTGTTTCGAAATCAATCGTTTACTTTAAACATTTTGTACGGATAGAATTCAATGCACTGAATCACATGACATGATCATTTTAATGAAAAGTTTTCATTTCTTAAAACATTCCTCTTATATATTCATGTACTGGAGTTAAGTTGAGATTGTCACATACATTTAATACTAGTGGCCTGCAGCAAAAATACTGACGAGTGTTGGGAAATTGGGGTCCCGTAGCAAGCAGAAATTGACAGATCAGAATTGGCGCAGTGAATATGGAAGCTTCATTCATCTTTTGCGTTTTTTCAGTTATCTTGGATATCTAATGATACAATTAAGAACTCACGATGCCGTAGGCTGCTTATAGTTCAATGGCTGCTTATTAGAATTCCTTCAATTTAAGCGTATGTGCGAATTTGATTTGTTGTAGAGGACTTAATTGATTTAAATAATTTTATGTAGATTTTTAAATACTGCGAAAAGGGCACATGCGGTGAGGAAACCGAGAGTATGGCAGAGGAAAACGAGGAGGGTGGGGGAAAGGAAAACGAGGAGGGTGGGGGAAAGGAAAACGAGGAGGGTGGGGGAAAGGAAAACGAGGAGGGTAGGGGAAAGGAAAACGAGGAAGGTGGGGGAAAGGAAAACGAGGAGGGTGGGGGAGTAAGTCATGTTTCCAACGGTTCATTGGTATTCATTTCTCCAGGCGGCCCGTGCGGTTGAAGACATGGACGACGCGCAGTTGGCAATCCGGCGTCGCTTGGCGGAGATCATATGTTCGCCGCGCAACTCCGAGGCGGGGCCGTCCGGGATGTGTGGCCGTGCGGCGAAGCGGCCCTGCGGCTGGCCGGGCTCCTCTTCGTCGATGGCTGCGGGAGCGCCACCCGGAAGGGAGGCAGCAAAGATAGAGCCGAGTCGAAGGTCGCGGCGGATACAGAGGTCTGTACGGGAAACAGCCTCTCCGCCGAAAAGGCAGCGACGCGATTCCGTTCAGCCATTAAGTGGGTACCCCGATTCGGTGTGTACCCCGGAGTTAGATGTGAAAAAAACGCCGGCGTTGGATCAAAAGAGTGAGATCGCGAAGGAATGTGCCTCTGTCGATTCACGGAACGATTTCCAGGCGAAATCAAACGGTACTGCTGAGCTAGAGAATGTTTCCAAGATTCAGTTCAATTGGAAGTCGCCCAGGGATGAGGTTGCGGGGAAGGAATGTGCCTCTGTTGTGGAACCACTGAATGATCACGTGGGGTCATCGAATGGTACAGCGGAGTTAGAAGCTACCAAGACTGAATCGACTCGGAAGTCGCTCCGGGGTGAGAGGGCAGTGAAGGAAAGTACCGCAGTTGCGGAACGAAACGACCTCGAGGAACCATCGAATGGTACTGCGGAGTTGTATGAAGCTACAAAGACAGATTCAAATCGAAGGTCGCGCCGGGGTGAGAGATTACTGAGGGCAAGAACCTACGTTGAATCACGAAATAATCACGCGCGGCTATCGAATGATACTGCGAAGGGACAGGAGGCTACCAAGTCTCAGTCGAAACGAATTTTTCGTCGAAGTGATAGGGTAGCGAAGGATTTGTTAAACTCTGTTGTTGATGCACAGAATAATCACACGGGGGCTTCGAGTAATTATGGGAAGTTAGAGGAGGCTACAAAGTCTGAATCGAATCGAAAGTCGTCCCGAAGTGATATAGTCGCGAAGGAAAGTGCCTCTGCTGTTGAATCACATAATAATCACATGGGGCCACCGAATGGTACTGCGACGTTGGAGGCTACCGAGTCTCCATCGAAACGAAACTTGCGCCGAAGTGATAGGGTAGCGAAGGATTTGTTAAACTCTGTTGTTGATGCACATAATAATTCTGGGAAGTTAGAGGAGGCTATCAAGTCTGAATCGAATCGAAAGTCGTCCCGAAGTGATAGGATAGCGATGGAAAGTGTCTCGGCTGTTGTATTACAGAATACTCACTTGGGGACATCGAATGATCTGGCAAAGTTGGAGGAGGCTGCCAAGTCTCAGTCGAATCGAAACTTGTGCAGAAGTGATAGAGTAGCGAAGGAAAATGCCTCTGCGATTGATTCACATAATCACATCGGGCCACCAAATGATACTGCGAACACGGAGGCTACCAAATCTCCATCGAATCGAAATTTGGGTCGATGTGTTAGGGAAGCGAAGGAATTGTTGAACGCTGTTGTTGATACACAGAATAATCTCATGGGGCCTTCTAATGTCACGGGGAAGTTAGAGGATACTACCACCAGGTCTCCATCGAATCCAAACTTGCGCCGAAGTGATAGGTTAGCGAGGGATTTGTTAAACTCAGGTGTTCCTCGGAATAATCATATCGGGCTTTCGAATAACACTGGAAAGTTAGAGGAGGCTACCGAGTGCGAATCGAATCGAAAGTTGCCCCGAAGTGATAGGATAGCGATGGAAAGTGCCTCGGCTGTTGTGTTACAGAATACTCACGTGGGGACATCGAATGATCTTGCGAAGTTAGAGGAGCCGGCGAAGTCTCAGTCGAATCGAAACTTGCGCCGCAGCGATAGAGTAGCGAAGGAACGTGCCTCTGCGACTGAATCACGATATCTCGTCGGCCCATCGATAGGTACTGCAGAGTTACAAGGTGCTAGAAAGGCCGGATCCAATCGAAAGTCGTTCCGGGGTGTTAGGGTAGTGAAGGAAAGTAAATATGTCGAACCACGGAATAACTTCGAGGAGTCATCGAACGGTACTACAGTGTTAGAAAAGGCTGCAAAGACTATGTTGAATCGAAAGTCGCTTCGGGGTGATAAGGTAGTGAAAGGAAGTGCCGCTATTGCTGAACCACAGAATGATGTCAATGAGTCATTGAACTCTGAAGCTGCTAAGACTGATTCTACTCCAAATTTCCTACGGAGTGACAGAGTAGTGAAGGAAAGTGCCGTTGTTACGGAACCATTGAATGACCTCGAGGAGTCATGTAACGTTGCAACAGAGTTAGAAGAGGCTGCAGAGACTGCGTCGAATCGAAAGTCGCCTCGGAGTGATAAGGTAGAGAAAGACAGTGCTGCTGTTATTGAACCGCGGGATGAGTTCGAGGCGTCATCGAACGGTACTGCGAAATCAGAAGAATCGAATCCAACGTCGCCCGGGAGCGACGGTGTAGTGAAGGAAAGTGCATCTGTGTTTGAACCTCGGAATGAACTCGAGGGGTCATTGAATGATACTGCGGAGTTAGGAAATGCTGCAAATATTGAATCGAATCGAAAATCACCACGGTGTGATAAAGTAGCGATAGAAAGTGCCGCTGTTGTGGACCCATGAAAACGTTGCCTCAAGACTGAATTGATTCGGAAGTCGTCCTGGAGTGACACGGTAGCGCAGGAAAAACGCCGCTGTTGATGAACCTTGAATGACCTCGAGGAGTCATCGGGTACAACCGAGTTAGAAGATACTGCAAAGACCGAATGTAATCAAAAATTGCTTCGGGATGATAGGGCAGTGAAGGAAAAAGCCGCTGCTGTTGAACCGCGAACTGATCTCGAAGATTCATCGAGTAGTACTGCGGAGTTAGGCGAGACTTCGGAATCGCACGAAGTGCGTCCGAGGACCAGCATTGCACCTGAAGAATCTACGGCAACGCAATCGCGATGTGTTAACTTGGGACCATCAAAGCGTGCGCTAGAATCAGAAGAGTTCTCAAACTTAGAATCGGGTGATTTGGCGCTCGAGTTTGACGTCGATGTGGAGGCACTAGTTCCCGCGGTGAGAGTGCCTCGTGGCAAAGCAGAGCTGTCAGTGTGTGCTCCGGAGGAAGCTGCCGGTCCCAACACGAGGTTGAATTCGAAATGTGGCGAGCAGGGTTCGAGGAATGATTCTGCAGTGAAACTACGTCAGTGTAGCTCAACACTGCCATCTGTGAATTCGTTGACATCTCTGGTAAATGGGGCTAAGGACGTAGACGTAGAGGAGGACGTAGAGGCAATGGTTCCTGCTGCGAGACTGTTTCGTAGAAACGCGGTGCCTTTAGGTATTTCGAAGGTTTTGACTGAAAAGAGAGCAACAAAACCAACCAACCCGAAGTCCAAATTGAGAACGCTTGGAGCGAGGCCGGAGGATGATGCCACTCTGAAACGCCCACGACGACGATGTAGAACACAGAAATCTGCGAGTCTGCTGGCGACAGATCTTCAGGTAAAAGAAGGTGTAATTGCTGAAACGATGCTGGAGGCGCAGGACGCGGATGTGGATGTGGAAGAAGTGGTTCGTGCCACGAGATTAGCAACACGGCGAAACAACGCGTGGTCATCTGGAGCTCTGGAAGAAGCGTGCTCAAAAAGACGACAGCGGGGCACAACAGGGCCGTCTGGTAGTTTTGTGGTTGGGCTTCAGTTAAAGGACGCTGCATATATTGACGCGGGGCTGACGCCAGACACGGAGCTGGACGTGGAAGCAGTGGTCCCTGCGGCGAGATTGCAGCGTAGCAGGGCGAGTCTATCGATAGGTGTTTTGGAGAAAGTGTCTGAGAATAGAATAAAAACGGACACCGGTGTGAGACGGACGACGAAAAGTAGGGAGGTTGATGTTTCGAATGAAAACGTCTCTACTACAAGACGTCTGCGGAACACAGCTGTGACATCTTGGAGTTCTGTGAGTGATCGTCATGTAAAGGAGACTTCACGTACTAATGAGAGTCCGATGACGTCAGACGTGGATCTAGATGTGGAAGCAGTGGTCCCTGCAGTGAGACTGCGTCGTAGCAGTGCGAGTCAATCGGTAGGTGTTTCGGAGAGAGTGTCTGAAAATAGAAGAACACCTGGCACCGAAGCGAGGTCGACGTCAAAAAGTAGCGAGGTGGATTCAGATGAGCAAGCCTTTACGACGAGACGGCGTCTGCGGAAAAAAGCTGCTCGTTCTTCAGCGGTCGATCCTCGTGTAAATAAACCTGCAGACACTGAAGCGCTCCGAATGACGCAAGGAGAGGAGTTCGATGTAGAGGAGCTGGTCCCTGCCACGAGATTGCGACGTGACGTCCCGTTGCGGACTGCGGGTACGTCGGAGGACCACGAAACTAAATCGTCGCGAGATCCTAGCGTGTGTAGGAAGACGCGAATATCGGAGACGGAAGTAGATCATTTAACGCCCGTAAACGGACTGCAACGCGGCGCGTCCGGGCTACAATCCGACACTCCGGAGGCGGAACTTAGAGCTACTTCCACAGCGATGAAACGACACCGTGCTGCGGAGGGGCCGTTGACGGATGTCTTGGAAACCACTTCCAATGATGAGATAGAAATGGAGGAAACGGTATCTGCCACGAGGCACGAGATTGGCCCAAACGAACCATTAACGAATGCTTCGGAGCTCTCTCGTGACCTTCACGATACTTCAAAGACCAAATCGAGTCACACGATGCGGGGATCGAAAGAAGGCTTGGAAGAAACGTTATCTGCGTCTGAACCATACACAGAAGGTCCACTAATTGGTAGATTAGACACTCCCGAGGCCAAAGAAGGAGAAACAGATTCGAGCAGGAATATGAGAGGGATGGATGATGTAATAGAAGAACGTTCACTAGAAATGAGTCGTCTGCGAGACACATCGGAATCTGTAAATAACTCTCAAGAGGCAACTTGCGAGTTGCAACAACGCGCAGAACCCGAAACGCGTCTAGGTTCCCGCGATGTAGTGAAATCTGCAACTCCTGCCTCGCCGGAACCGTTGGTGGGCAAACCGGAGGCCGTGGATCGCGAATCGAAGCAAGGTGTCAAGCGAGGGCCTGAGGAACAAGTGGATCCAACCACCCGAACAAAAAGACAGCAATGTGGGTCGGTAGTAGCCTCAACGGCCGCGACGACTGCGACGTCAGATATGTTGGGGACTGAGTCGAATGTCTGTACGCAAGGCACAGACATTGAAGCGTACGAAGTCACTGGTGTTACGAGACAAGTGTTTAATACGACCTGCACGGGATCGCAAGTTTCTGATTCGGGTGCGAGCTCCGCTCCAATCAACGGTCCAAACGAACCTCGGGAGCGGCTTGAAAGTGTGGGGGCCATTACAGACACAGCGCGAGTGGACTTCGACGGAAACGAAGTGACCGCCAACAGCGACGCTGCGGATCAAGCCCTCGACGAATCGAATGCGACGAGAATAGAGGTTTCGGAACGAAGAGAGATGGAGACGAAAAAGGAGGCACTGGAACGTATCGGAGCTTATTTGTTCCGGAAAGTGGGTTCCCGGACACTGACCCTTGTTCCGGTCGTTCGCAAGCTCGACGTGTCTGCAGCGGTGGGCGGCGCTGCGAATGACATGGCAACGGTAAAAGACGGAGCAGGTAGGAGGATGTAGCATTGTATTAGCGGGTCCCGAAGCAACCTCGGTGTCCTTCTCCCTCTCAAATCCAATTTTCGTCGGTAATTTGACGCAATTTCTTGAAAACAAAAGTTCTGCGTTATCGTTTTCAGTGAATCGTTCGACTCGTTTACTGATTCTTAATTCTGTTAACTGATCATACATTTAGCTTTCGTCTAAATAATCGGGATTTGCTTGGAATCAGCAAGGAACATTAAATTAGTACAATACTTGTATTTGTCAAAACGTAGCGGTCCAATTTTTGTTTTCGGGACCCGCAACTGCTAGGGTCATTAGTCTCGTATGCTTAATGCATGTGTGTGTGTATATATATCCCGGAATATGGCAGTGTTCCTATCTTTGCTATAGAGTTCCTAGATATAAAATCTCTTAACCGCCGCGATTTAATATCACTCGATACCGCCATCTAGCAGAATTCAGAAGCTGAACAAAAGAGGTTACATTATGAAGTTTTACAACGATATAAATATTGATTTGGGATAGATTCACGGGTTTCAACTAACAATACCACAAACGTCTAATTTTCCTGACCACTGAATATAAAATGGGGAAATTGGTGAACTATAACACCTGCAATTCAATAAGATGAACAATTATTATGTGAAATGCCTAACATCTATTAATGTCTCGTAAGGTGGTAAAGTTTAGAATATATTTTGAAAACAAGTTCATGATTTGCATTTTTTTATTATAATACCAGAAGTAATCCATCAAAAATGAGACGAAATCAAACCTCCCATATTTATTGTTAGTTATACTGAAAAGTATTTCATAATTCCCATTATTATCAGTTATATTTTCTCAAACTGGTTTCCGCGATCCTCGAGGCGAAACAATTTTAGGAGTTCACGTAAAATTTCAGGGTGTGTGCGATTGTTGCCACGTTCCATGGCGGAATCCAATGTAATTCTGTCGACATTTGTTACAGTTGGTTAGGCTCACGTTCTCGGAATCCAGCATTGTCTGTATCGAAGATAACCACGCCGTTCCCGGGTGTTTGTTCATTTTTAGTCGACATGTTGTATTTCAGAAACGTTATTCAGTATTTATCTTTATAAAGTATATCTAGCCTTTTGTTAGTATGTAGAGATTCCCGATCTCTAATAGTTTTTGACAAAAATATTTTAGTATGTATGCAATATACAGTACGTTGGGTTTTTAGAATCCACAGTTTGTGAGTCCTTGATTCCCAAAAATGTTTTTCGGCAAAACTTCGGTCTGCCCGTATCTCTGTGAACAATACGCGTGTAATCCGTTTACAGGATTTTCACTTAATTATAAATTCCTCAATCGAGCTGGCTGATATTGCGGCCCCTTGAATTTGAAAAGGTTGTTTTAATTGAGGGAGGGTATTTTATATTTCGGCGTTTTCATTTTTTCTCAAAAATGGCTCCAAGTTTTCATTTATTTGTCAAGGAGTAAAGTAGGCTCACAAAAAATTGTAGAAGTTAAATATTTTTTGGCGCTTTGCTACTAGTATGGAAGATGTTGTTAATGAAATCTGTTCTTCACAATTCGATCTTAGAGCCCTATTTTCACTTAAATCTCTTAATTCACGAAAATTTCCAATCTCTAGCTTTCTTTTTAAACCGTTGGAACATTCATACAATTCAAACGTTTGGAGTAGCGGGTAATTGAAGTACGTGTGAAACAAAGAAACTTCAGTTCGAATCCCAGGACGGTAATCAAATGCTAGTGGATTGGAAACATTTTTGGGGGTTGAAGTTGATATACATTACGTAACTTATTGGCTGTATAATGTACGTGTTTTTGTAGCATCACTAGTTTATTCTTTCCAACTTTCTCTCCTCTTTCTCTTTTCTTCTCCGTAGTCTCTTGGTTCTTCGTTTTCTCGGTGCCCCAGCTTGTACGTATCGTATAATACACAGTTTATGGTGACATCAATTGCAAAGGTAGCGCGAAACGAGTCTATAAATATCTTAACGTCGTGGGGTTGCCTAAGTGTAACGAACGGTGGCGGTTTGCGCTCGGTTAACCTTCATGCATCTACTGATTGAGCGGTGCCATCTCCACAGACGTGCCGGCCGCGTCTTCTCGGGCGGCGACCGAAGAAGCCGACGATGACGACATCGTGGAGGTGGCGAGGATCATCGCGCCGCCGAGGGGGGTTATCGTGCGGGGCCCGCTGTGCCCACCCGGGCCCCCGCGGCCGAGCGCTAGCCCTCGTCCCGGGGTGATCGTGTACGGCCGCCATGTCGCAGGCCGCCGCCGCCGCCGTACCCAGTCACAGACGAGAAGGCCCGCGTGAGCAGCGAGAGTGAGTTGTTCTACGCGACCGTGCCGGCGGTGCTCCCCGAACGCAGAAGAATTGGCTTTTGAAATTGGTGGAAGGTTTCTGGACACGTCGACTGCTATGGTTATTTATTTCGTTAGTGTTGTGAATGATTTGTCGCTGGATGGGGGCGGTGAAGTCGACTTGCACGGCGGTTTGCGGTGAATTTCCTCCTATATCCCAGCGGGGACCATCTCAGCCGAAACAAGCACCAAGCTCCCGACATATGTGGTAGTATACTGGATGTGTGTGTGTGTGCGCGCGCGCAGAGGTGAAGTCATGTTCTCGTGGCCCCCGTGTCGGGAGTCCAAATCGGACCCCCCACCCTCCGGATTGGGAACTTCGAGCTTGTCCCGGCTGGGGCGATGCTCCGCTGGTGGGGGATACCCTCGCCAGCTGACGCGACAGTAAGCCCGCCGGATCTCAGCATCCAGCTGGGGAAGATCACCGTCACCTCCCGAGAAAAGAAAACGTGCAATCCACTTATGGAACTAACGACTTTAGCAGTTGACGTGCCCGGAATCAATGCTCAATCAGTACAGCGCTGCGTTGTCTCTGTCCGTAGGTCCTAGCAGGCACGTGCTGTCCCGTATCAGTGAGCTCCCTGACGCGTGTATCGGAGGCCGCGTGGCCGAGGAAGCCCCGTCGACGAGGGAGAGCCCTTGCGCGGTCAACGATGCCCCGCACGAGACGGCGGTCCCTCGGGCGGAGCCGGAGATGGGAGCAAGGGCCGATGTCGGGAGCGAAACCAAAACTGTGGTCGCAGGAGGAAGTGGGATTGAGGTCAGGCAAACGGCCGGGGATGACGGTTCTGATTCAGAGTCCGATTCGGCGTCTGGGATCGGGTCGGCGCTGGGATCGGATCTAGGGGCGTTGCTGAGACGGGATGAGTCCGAATGCCGCGTCCGGTGCTGGGTCGCGTCCGAGTCTGGGGGTGAGGTTGGGGCGTGCGCGCCGCGTGGAGTCCCATCGGGGAGTTCGAGTACGCTAGGTTAGGTGTTGGGTCTGATGTCGGATCTGGTGTCGGCTCGAGGTCGGCGATTGACGTCGGGTCCTGGGTCGCCTGCAAGGGCCGCTCGGCGGGGCCCTCAGGGTCCGTGAGGACGACATGGAGTTGGGTGCCACAGGGCGCGTGACCCGCGGAGGCGGCGCTCGGCGACGAGGCCAGTGGGGTGTGCGGCTGGTACAGCTGGCTGGTGTCGGGGGCGCGATCCCGACGCCCTGGTGGGTGAGGGCGGGCCCACCGGCGCGCGCGCGCGCTGCACCACGCCGCCGTGGCGGGCCACGTGGCCTCCGTGCGCACGCTGCTATCCCACGGCGCCCACGTCCGCTCGCGAGGTGAGTTGCCCCTTCTCTTTTATAAAATTAGTTGTACTCGTAAATCTCTGAACTTCCTGTGAGAAATGAACTTGTTGCGCATTTGGCGAGGTCGAATATGTTCACGTTTTGCCTGTGAACATGTGGTGGGAGCAATGTTCAACACTCGAAATTTGGCAATCGATTTCCTGGTAGGAAGGCTACTCTTTCTGCACTGGTTTTTAGCAGATATACGAAATCTTCGTGAGAACGTGTTCGTGCCGAACACCAGTGCATGATGAGTAGCCTACTCATCTGGGGCGCTATGTCATACCTTGTCGAACACTTGTAGCATTCTTAAATATAGGCATCTCGGAATAAAGGTTACCATCTTCTAGGGCAGAAACGTCAAACAGCGCCCGCACGAGTTACGTCTCCGCCTGGGAAGCCCAGCGCTCCCCAGGCATGGACAACTTCTCCCGACTTCGCACTTATTTCGTATTGAAACCTAGAAAGGGGTGTACAAGCGCAAGCTAAAGCTGCGCGAGGCGGTGAATAGTGGCTTCATAGGAAAATATGTTTACCAGATTTTTCTATCCAATAACCCGGAACTGTATTATGTTTATATTCTTGGCTAATTACTATTTGATGTTTATTTTCTTACTAAATTCTCCCTTATATAAACATATTTTCCAAGTGGCAGGAATATTGTTTGAATGGTTAGTTCTTTCCTTGTTTTCGTTTTGTGTTGTGTTATTAAATCATTTAATAATTTATTATATTTAGAGTAATGTAAAATAAATTAACAAGTCCATCAGTTAACGATTCTGGCTTATGGGACGGACAGCGCTTTTAAAAGACAAGAATTTTTGTCTGTTAAACCTTCTGAACTGAACGTAGAGAGTTCTTACTTTTATGTCTCTTAAGTAAATAGGATTGCAAAATCGAGATACTTTTGATTCAATTTTTTAAAAAACTTTTGGTTGAGAATTTGAAATCTGACTGATGTATTCTTTCATTTTAATAGATATATTTCCTTGCCTTAAATAAAAAGAAAATAGGAATTAATGAAGCTAAATTTGGGCAGTAACTTTCAATTGACTTCTCGAAAAGATTGACATGGACCAGATATCCAGTGACATACCGCCACTCCGGAGAGATTTGTACAACCCTTTGTTTTAAATCTCGCGCCAATTTCACGGGACGCAATGCCCACTAGCTCTAGTAAGCTTGGTACCTTGCCCGCAACTTTGACATGCCTGTTCTAGCGTGTCTAATATAAACACATTTAGCGGTGAATATGTGGTGGGAAATTTCGTATCAGGGAACGACATTTGCCTATGAATGTGAGGTAACCCCGGGCGGAGATGTTTCCCGCAGCTATATGGAATCTCCTTGACTGTGATATGACCTGCCAAACAACTGTACGTAAGAGGTTGCCTAACAATCAGTGGCAAGTGTCACATGTGTAACTCTGAAATATGAAATATCCCACCACATATTAATCGGATAAAGGTGATCATTTTCGAACCCTCTTCATGCCCTAGAAGTTAGTAACATTTATTCTGAGACACTAATATGTGTGTATGATATATAAGCACTCATGCGGGTTTATGCACACAATTTTTTAAGGTGAACGCTTTCTGAAAACATGTAAAACCGAAAAAAATATGAAACATGAGGGTGGTAGAGCAAGATGTTGCGTGGAAGTGTGGCGCGGCTTGCCACGTCGAGGCAAGATCTGTCTGTCTTCTTAGCTCTCCTGGTGACGCCGCGACGTTGGCCTAGAGACAAACATCGCTCTAGAAGAGACTAGAAGAAATTAAGAAACCGAGGAAAATTTTTAAACGGTTAAATAAGAAGTTATTATCCCTTAAAAGTAGTGTATTAATTTTTATTTGATGAGATATTTTTAAAATTTGTACTTTATAACGAAAAAATCTGCTTATAAATTAACATCAGGCATACTTCGATATTTTTAAAAAAATAGTGCGAGATAGTTAAGTCAAAAATAAAATTAAAAAATTGTTCCAAAACCGGTGAAAGTGAGAGAACTTTATTCCAGTATTATGTGGCCACCATGTTATTCCTTCAATCATTTTGCATTTTTTCCCCTGGAGCCGTTGATTCTCCCCTGTTGGGGGTCGTCCATAAATTACGTAACGCTAAAAGGGGGACAGGGTCTGAGGCAGCGTTACGTTGCGTTTTAGTGGGGTATGGGGTATTAGTTATGTGTTCCATAACATTGACATTTATTTTTTTTACATTTATCAACATTTGCTGAAATAATTACTAAAGTCGTATTACTAGAGTCGTATACTAAAACATTGAAATATTCACCAATTTCGTTTTAAAACATAATTAAATTAGTTATTAGTTGTAAATTATTACAAATGATGGGAAATATTTTTTCAATTTTCTCGAACCTGTATGATTACGAATAAATTATTCAAAACTGTTGTGATTTGTCGTGTATATTCTAGAATCCATTTAAATTGGCGCTGAATTCTTGCTCTTCCATCATCCACAGCGGCATGGCTTGTGATCAACCATTTCTCGTCCAAGCATTCTTCCTTCACTCACAACTTGCCCCAATCTTGTTATATGCAGCCAGCAACGCCACCTAATTTCAACTTTAATTATCATGAATTACTTTAATGTACAACACAAGTAAAACAAACACAAATTTCTTTTACTGTGCTATAATTTCTTATAACTTCTTGCATTTACAAGGGGGGTGTTATCACAGGTGTCACATAATTATTTATGGAGTGGGTTCAAACGCGTGTAACGGGTGCGTTACAGAGCGGGAGGGGGTATTGAAAATACTCCTAATTTGCGTTACGTAATTTACGGACGGCCCCATTGATGCATGTGCGTGAGGTGCCTGGACGTGCGTGTGTGCGCCAGGCGCGGACGACCAGGAGGCGCTGCACTGCGCGGCGGCCGGCGGGAGCGCGGCGTGCGTGGCGCTGCTGGTGGCGGCCGGCGCCGACGTGGACGCCGGCGACTCGTTGGGCTGGACGGCGCTGCACTGGGCGGCGGCCGCCGGCAGA